AAGATTGAGAGTGCGACTGTCGTAACTTCACGTAGAAAATCTCGCGCATTGCAAGGATGATGAAAATCTACCGTCTGAAGTCTGCAATGTTGATTTTTTTTTTATAAAAAAAGGGGGGGGGAGAAACTTTGGTGTTTCCAGCTTACCATTTGACAACAGTCATCGTGCTGGCTATGGAGGCACTCGAAGAAGAATCAATTCTTTTCCTCTCAACTTACGGGGATATAAATTGAGACGTTTAGAACGATACATCACGTTCCTAATCGCTCGTCATGATGGGGAAAGTGAAGAAGGGTAAAGCTGCAGCGAATTGGTTAAATTAGGCTCAAGCCTACGTCACAAAAAGTAATCAATTGCGCACTAGATATAGATTAATTTCTAGTCGTGACATTAAGAACGGCTAAGTTCTTGTTCGGACAATATTTGATGAAATTTATTTTCTCGATTTAAAAATTTGGATTGGGATTCCTTCTTTGAAAATACCGCTCTTCAGGAGCAAATATACTTTGAGAAATTCAAAGTCCGAGGTCTGCATGAAGCGTCAACACGATCCAGTGGCGAGGCGTCAATGATCGATTATCGATATTTCTCCATTTGAGGATATGGTAAATAATCGATTGTTAAGATGGTCGTTGCGAACACCGTATCTATCGATCTTTTTCCATTGGTTTTAATGGCCGATGAATCGATATGTCGCAGCACTGACATGATCTTATTTTGCTATTTAAGTATGAATTGGTTAAAGACTTTAACGCACGGTTAGAAACGAGGATGGTTATACGGGCTTACTTAGCTATTAACATAAAAATGGAGATGTTGCATGTGTAAGGAATTTGTGATTGGACTGTTGATTCTTACGTAAAAGTTCGCGAGAAACACGATGATGCCACTGGTTTTCTCTGAAATCAACTCCCAAGCTCAAAAAAAGCTTTCAAGTTGAGGCAAAAATGGAGGGGATGTCCCACGCTATCCTGAGAGTCCACCTCTACATCAAGACAAACTCTCCATGCAAAGATAAAGAGCAAATACATTAGCAGGGTTGCCGTGTTTTCAGTTGTGGAGTCCACAAATCAAGTGGCAGCCCTGTCGATGTATTTGCTCCGTATCTTCGCATGGAGAGTTTGTCTTGATGTAGACGTGGACTCTCAGGGTAGCGTGGGATATTCCCTCCATTTTGGCCTTAACTTGAGAACTTTTTTTTGAGCTTGGGAGTTGATTTCAGAGAACACCAGTGGCACCATCGTGTTTCTCGCGAACTTTTACATAAGATTCAACAGTCAAATCGCTAATTCCTCTCACATGCAACATCTCCATTGGTTGGAGACTTGAATGCAGGGTTAGGAAAGTGAACGGTGGTGCGTGTTCTTCCCCTCATAATCCAGATCGATGGCAAAGGTGTGAAACCACGTATCTCCGTTTGCGACGTTGCAGACTTTCTGTGATACTTTATTTGTTCTTTGGAAAACAAGTCAAAGTAATTCCTTGAAAACTTCCTTGATTTTTCTCCTCTATAAGCAGAATATTCTATACAAATTTCAGGCCATAGAGTCAGCTTGTTCATCTTCGAGAAAATAAGTGGGGGCGGACATTTTGAAACACCACGATAAAAATACGTGGTTTCGCACTTCAGCCATCGAGAGGACGGGTGCCATCCAATTCCCTCCCCCGATTCCCTCCCGAAACCGATTCCCTCCCCCGATTCCCTCCCAAGACCGATTCCCTCATGCGGCCGGAACCGATTTCCGATTCCCTCCCGGCTTTGAAGTAAATTGAAAATATGTGGCAACGTCGCAACAATTGATCAAGTAGTAAGACGAAATAATCAAGATCCAAAATAAACTCACCATTCCCAGATACACCTGATTTTTTTTTTTTTTTTGGTCTTATTTTTTTTGACGCGACGGACTCTGTACACCCGTTTAAGGTACTTCATAGAAATTCGCCAAATGTTTTCTTGTGATAATTTTTTTTTTTGGTCTTATTTTTTTTGACGCGACGGACTCTGTACACCCGTTTAAGGTACTTCAAACTTCTACAACTTCTACCACCTACTCTTGTACTCTTACGAGAAATGGCGCTGTATCAGGTGTATCTGGGAATGGTGAGTTTATTTTGGATCTTGATTATTTCGTCTTACTACTTGAGCAATTGTTGCGACGTTGCCACATATTTTCAGTTTACTTCAAAGCCGGGAGGGAATCGGAAATCGGTTCCGGCCGCATGAGGGAATCGGTCTTGGGAGGGAATCGGGGGAGGGAATCGGTTTCGGGAGGGAATCGGGGGAGGGAATTGGATGGCGCCCGAGAGGACTCTTCCCACAGGCATTCACTTATATCCCGCGATTTAGGGGTCGAGAATTTGACAGTTTCCTTAAAATTAAAAAATGGACATCTGCGGTTTTCGCCGTCCGAACTAAAGGCGCGAAGAAATATTCTAAAAATCTAATTGCATCAAATTCCGACCAACACTTTAATGCGCCACACGCAGTCGCCAAGACTTTCCGGGACAACGTCCCTTCGTCGAAGATTGAATCGGCTAGCTTTCGGGGAGACCGTGAAAAATACCGGGCGCTAACAAGTGGAACAGGGTTGCAAAGTCGCAGAGCTATTTCCGCCGTTCCGCGAGATACACTCGCCGATAACCTGCTCATTTTGGCAACCTCAAAAACAGCCCTTCATTCTTCATCTCGATGCTAGGCATCTCGCCTTCATCCGATTACATCACCCGATTTTCGATAACCCAGACACCGTGCCCACTCCGCCACGGCAGACGAAGCTCGTGGATCCCCCCCCCCCCCCCCCCCCCCCNGAGGATCCGAGGGTGAACTGGCGTGAACCCTGGACCACCGCACAGTGGACCTGACCTTCATATTGATAGAGGGTGGTATTCCGCCTCCTTGTTCGTTGGGAAGAGTAAAGACAGGCCGATTAATTAGGTAGCTGTTTTGGCAGCTGTTTCCTTAATGGTTGAACGGAAGAATCCAGTCTTGTTAAGCACTCATTAATTTGTTGGTTATTTCCTCGTTAGGGTAGGTATTTCGCAAGGAAAATACACAATTTTGTGTGTCTTATAAAATGATTGCTATTTACACGTGGAATGAACCATTAGACAAGGTACGAATTTCAGCATTCTGATACCTGCTTCGTAACTAAAATTTTACGTAGAACACGATGTGCACAACGAAAATGACCGAAATCAACTCCTTCCAAAGATATTCAATGATTCTTGATGCGTGAATTCGAACTACCCGCTCATGAAAACTCAATGCTCAACGTGATACACATCGCGCGCTAAACATTTATCATGACAGTCTCTGTGATATAAAAATCTGGCAACCTCAATTTTGACGCTTTGGCTCAGCCATAGCAAACTGCTAATAGTTTGAACAACACATGGTAGGAAATGAACATTCCTCGATTGAGAAGATTGCTGAAACCGTTGTAGTGCGCGATTTTACTCACGTGGAGCTTTGAGTTTCTTGTGAGCGGGCAGTTCAAATTCCTTGTAACCTATGTGAAATAGAAATGTAAATATCTTCGTTAGAAGTTGGTTTCAGTCATTTTCGTTGCGCGAATCGTGTTTTGCGTAAAATTTTGATTAAGGAACATGTATTAGAATTCTTTAATTCGTACCTTGTCTAGTGGTCCATTCAATGAGTTCCCCAGGCTTTTTCTTGTTTTCGATGTTGACCTGTGATCGCATAGGTGCATTTAAAATTACTCGAACTTCCAATATACGGTATAAAACATGCTTATTCTTATATGTATTTATTCGATAATTATAAATACTTGTCCTAAACCTTAGAAATTCCTTGATTTTATGGGTTCTGCTCCATTTTTTGCCTGTTCGTAGCATTTTGCCGCTGAATTTCATTACATCTTTTCAGGATAACACAGGTAATTTCTGTCAGTTTTGATCGATGGAACGGCGGCGGTTCCATCTCCGTTGACGTCACTGGCGCTTTATTATTCTCATTCACTTTTACGGCCAGAGAACTAACGAGCACATCCCATATTTCTCACCTCCACATAGGTCTGTTTGGTAGAAATACATCCAATTGGAGTACATTTTGCGATTTAGATTTTGAAATTCTAGCTCATTCTAGAAACAACATATCTGCCAGTAGAGTCCCTACGCACATAGGTGTTTTATTCATGAACCAGGAATTGTAGTTCATTTCAAAATGCAGACCAATTATTGAAAGTCCTTGAAGTATACTCAAACTTTTCAGTCTTTTTTTACTCTCCGACTAGAGGCGTACACTGCCGTGCTATGGAAAAACGTCGTATGAACATTCGAGAGTTGCCAAATTTCCTTCGATAAAATGTTTATTTTTGAGGAAATCAAAGCCAAGGAGTTCCAAAAATTAAAATTAGAGTCAAAATTAATTTTTTTTTGAGCTCTAATGCGCACCAGTACGAAACTGAGGGGGGAGTGTCTTCAGCTCAGGCAGTTTGCATAGGAACTCCTTGGCTTTGATTTCCCCGCGAGATGGTGTGGACCCAGCACCATTTCTCCACCTTGTTACATACCGACGTTGAAACTACCAAACCACGTATCTCGGTTTGCGACGTCGCAAACTTCCTGTCATATTTTATTTTTTAAATGAAAAACTACTTGACGTCCAGTATTGAAAATTTCTGTGATTTTTCCTCTTCGTGCGAAGAAAATTCTGTGAAAATTTCAAGGAATGATATTGATTTGGTCTACTACAAAAAAATAAAATGTGAGCGTAGATTTTTAAACACCGCAAACGAGATACGCGGTTTGGTAGTTTCACCGTCGATACAGTTTCGGGCCACTTCTTAGTGTTTTTTATCTTCATTTTTGAGGAAATATATGAATATTCTCCCTTGAAATTTTCAGGAGCTTTAGGTGAAATTGCGTTCAAAATCATCTGAAAAATGGAAAGGAAAATATTTATAATTTTACCGGGAAATTGGTGTTTTATCAAAGGAAATTTGGCAACGCCTGAAGGTCCATGCGGCGTTCTTCCTTAGCGCGGCCGGCCATTCCACGTTTTCCAAAGAGTGCGGGGCTCGAACCCTCTGTCCGCCGAGGTTGGGGAAGCTGGGGGTGAGCCGGAGAGCGGTATTAAATCCATTATAACTCGGGATGAAAAGAGGAAAGTGGCCGGCAGCGGCGGCGACTCCGGCAGACGACCGAAGGGTCATGGGCTAGCGAGTGGTTAGTGGTGAGTCAGTCAGGTGTAGCTATCATCTAGTGCCGGGTGTCTGACCCTGCCTCATCATGCTCGTAGGATATAGATCTCGCTCAAAGGTGAGTCCCTGTTCTCACACCTTCCGCGTCGATTGATACGTACCCTTCGACGACTTCGCTTACATCATAATCTCATCTTCCCCGTTTTTCGGTCGTATTTTTTGCCGTGCAGGGTGTCTGGTATTTTTTCATTTTGAAAAATCCTGATATTTTATAAAAAATTCCTGATTTTTTCATTTTGAAAATTCCTGATATTTTCCTGATTTTTCTCGACTCCTGGCACGGTAGGCAAAAAGCAGTAAGACTTTCTCCGCTGAGGAGATTCGCGTAAGAAAAATTCCTCATAAAACGTCCAATTTTTCTGATTTTCCTGATCGGCCAAAATTCCTGATATTTTCCGGTTTCTCCGATTTTTCCTGATGCTAGACACCCTGCGTAGCATAGGATTAGTGACTACGAAATTCTGCATAGAACGAGTTAAACGAATCCGCGGGCGACTTTTTTTTATTTTTGGGGGCTCATTAGCTCATCTCAGGTATTTCGATTGCAAATATCTGTCTTGAAAAAAAAAGATCTCCTGCCTCCATACTACTCACATTACAAGTTGTCTACTTTTGTCTTTAAAATTCTTACACCGGAGAAAACTTGTGTTCCCCCACGATCTCTGAATAGACCGCTAGACAAGGTACGAATTTAAGCATTCTGATACATGTTTCTTGACCAGAATTTCACGTAGAACACGATTCGCGCAACGAAAATTACCGAAATCAACTCTTGACAAAGATATTAACGTTTTTATTTCACATTGGTTACGAGGAATTTACTGCCCGCTCATAGGAAACTCAAAGCTCTACGTGAGTCAAATCGTGCATTGCAACGGTTTCAGCAAGCTTCTCAATCGAGCAATGTTCATTTTCCACCATGTGTTGTTCAAACTATAAAAAACTTGCTATATCTAGTTGAGCCAAAGCGTCAAGATTGAGGTTGCCAGGTTTTTATATCGCAGAGACTGTCATAATAACGTTTAGCGCGCGATGTGAGTCACGTAGAGCATAGAGTTTTCATGAGCGAGAGGTTTGAATTCACGCATCAAGAATCATTAAATATCTTCGTAAGGAGTTGATTTCGGTAATTTCCGTTGTGCGCATCGTGTTCTACGTGAAATTTCGGTTGTGACAGGTGTATCAGAATGCTGAAATTCGTGCCTTGTCTGGTCCATTGCCAAAATTTCAGAACTCCAAGATAGGTATCTAATTTTCTGATGGAAAGGGTTGTGATTTGGTCATTGCATAGGATTCAACTTGGGTCCGAAAAGGACCCATATTTCCGAACTTGGGTATTTTATTTTTCATTTTTCATACCTACTTGTATGAGAACCTAAAAGCTCCACATCGCCTCGATAACTTTTGACCGATTTCACGATCGAGTTGAAACTTGAAGGGTGATATGGGGTCAAGAGGTGCTAGTTCTTTCCCATATACACTTTTTCTTCGTCTTCTTCCCTAATCTTCGGTTTTAGAAACTCCAAAAAAGTTTATTTCCCTTCTTCAAATTTTATCCCATGACTTGTGACGCTGAGAAATAATTTACAAGGTGATCCAGACCAGCTGTACCTAACTTGCTTCTAGATTATTACGGGTCGAACGAAGTCAGAGACTGCGAAAAGTAATAGGGATCGACCTCATGAGACCCGAAATCCAAATATCATCGTCTTGAAGGCCCCCCCCCCCCCCCNCCGCCCAAGGTTTTAAGGGGGTAAAAAGGGGGTTCCAATTTTCGAAGTCAAGGTTTCAAAAATATCAAAAATTAGAACAGAAGTACGGTGAAAAAAAATCGTCAGTCAATACAATTAGTTTCCAATTGTTATGCTCCTATTTGTGAGATATTTTACTCCAAAATTTACTAAAATATTCCTTGGGAATGCTCAGGGCTGGAGTAAGGGGGTGGCCACATGGGCCGCGGCCCATAGCGGCAAATCTAAGGGGCGGCAAAAATTTGCAATTTTTTAAAGTGTAGGTATAAAAAAAAATCGGTTTTATAAAAAAAAAAATTATAAACGAGAAAAGGCGACAGAATCTCTCATTTCCTGAGAGTGTAGTAATTTCTAATTTTGTCGTCTCTTAGTGATACAAGAGACAGAACCCTCCCTCAATAAGTCAAGTTACGAGAGAAACCAAACACGCAATATGGCCTAGCACGGAGCGACTTAGAGAGAAATGATAACAAGGACCTGAGATGAAAAGGAGAAGCCCTCGGCGCGGCAATCGGCATGTAACAAATATTAGCGCCTACAAGACTGCACGAATACTTCACGCATTGCATCAAACACAGTGTGGTCATTGCGGTCAGCGTGAAACGGATAGCGCCTACAAGAATGCATGAATACTTCACGCATTGCGCCAAACACAGTGCGGTCAGCGTGAAATGCATAGCGCCATAAGACTGTGTGAATACTTCACGCATTGCGTCCAACACGGTGCGGTCTACGCGGCGCGGCGGCGGAAGTAAAAATCATTGAACCACATTCATGTTTGTTCTTTCATAATTTTTTCGTTCATTTCTTATGAATGGAAGGCCTTGACCACACAGAGATAGGTTTACGGAACTTAACTTTCGCGCAAAGTTTCGCGAACTTTTGCTTGTAGTGTTGACAGGGCTTTCCCAAAAAATGTGTTCAACACGAGTAAATGCGTCTTATGCACCCCTCCCCCGCTGGCACGTTCATTTGATGGTTTTTATCGAGTTTCAAAACGAATGAGAAGGGGGCGGGAAAAATAGGCGGCAAGTAGGTGAATCCGGCCCTGGGAATGCTTCTACTTCTTGCATGTTCAATGTTTCGAGAATAATGCAAAAAATTCATGATCGATCAGACCTCAAAATGTTAGCGACATCCCTATACCTGATATGTATATGTATTTTGTGACATACAACTGATTTTTCCTTTTTTCTCCTCTGAAGGTGTATGCTGGAATAATTGCAGCACTCTTGAACATCCTTTGCAATTCACTTGCTGAAGAAAAAGTACCAAATGAACTCGAAAAATTGACAGAGCAACCGAATGTTACCAAAACTTTAGACCAGGTAAATCAAACTTGTAAATTTTATGTAAGATTAAAGGCTCATTGTTGGATGCAAATTATTTTTATTTCGTCAGACGGAACAAAAGAAAAGTGGACGAGGTAAAAAAAAGCAAAACAAAAAAACAAAAAAAAAAACTAAATTCTAAATACGAGATCCGGAATTTCGGAAAATTTGGGAAAAACAAATTTTACCATTATTTCTTGAAGTTTTCAGAATTTTTTTTTAAAATTTCGAATGTTTTCGAAAATTATACTAATTTATTCTCCTCCATCCCCCATATATCTCCTTTTTTAGGGAAAGTTACTATCAACCTACCATAAAAGAGCGAACGTACCATCAAATCAATTTTAATACTCCTTTTCAAAGCGTTGTTATTGGCTGGCTTAGGTGAAGCCTTAGGAAGGAAGAGGAACGAGAGTTTCTCAATACAAATGGGTAATTTGAAAGGATGATGTAATGCGTACCAATAAATGAAACAAAATTAAGAACCAGTCAATCAAATATCAATCCTAAAATTTCATGGTCTTACAATGCAAGACATCTACTGGACTTTTACTTTAGTAGGTCGATAATTTCTCTCCTTAATCGAAATAGCGTCGCACCTCTGACATAAGGGCATCTCTATTTCGACGTGAGCCCCGCAAAGAATTGGATTACACGGAGGACAGGGCTCACGTGGAGATTGAGATAAGCCCTTACGTCAGGGGAGCAACGATAGAAGCACCGAGTCTTTTTTGATGTTATTGCATATGTAACTGGCAGACGTCTTCATTGACGTTACGACTCACGTTACGACTCACGTTACCAGCAGACGTTTATATCGATATTGTATGGCATACGTTACTTACAAACCCTAAAAATGTGGCAAAACTCAACTCATCTATCTATTAACCGCTTTAAGTACACTATTTTGATCTTTTAACGTCATTAACGCCGACTAACTCAACGACTAATGTCGGTGTGTTTGGTAGGATAGGTGGACGTATTTCTATCAAACGGAACTAAGCGCCATAGGGGGAGGAAGGTAGAGGGGGGCTTGTATTGGCGGCGGAAACGGGCGTCCTGCTCGTTCCGTCATACTCGCAATGCTTTTCCATGGCGCTTAGTTCCGTTTGAAAGAACGCGCTATCCGGGATTTTAAATTCCTCAAAAAGGAACTCAAATTGGCGCTTAGTTCCGTTTGACAAAAATACGTCCAGGTTAAAGTGTTTCCAGCTTCGTTCATTTGGGTCTGATGCACTTTTCAGAGTTTGCCTGATAACGGGGGTTCCGGTGACTCGTGTACGCATTTAATACATTTGGACTACACTTTGCAATTCGAAACTACAATTTGTGGCTCATCTGTAAAGGTAGAAAAGGGGGGGGGGAAACATATGCGCATAGGGAAACTAACAGCACATACATAGTTCCTGGACTGAACCGGAAATTGTAGTTCCTCATTGCAAAAGACGCCCATCTAGTCTCCCGAATAGATCGTATCATTTCCGTACTTGTGTTACAGATTCCTCAATATCACTTCCGGTACTACGTGCAGGACGCGAATTCGGGTGATTACAAGACGCAGGAGGAGAGACGCGATGGGGAGCGTGTGCAGGGCTCTTACTCCGTAGCAGAGCCTAACGGAGATCTTCGGGTGGTGACCTACACGGCAGACATCAAGAGTGGTTTCAGAGCCGACGTCAAGTTCCATCCAGGCGCCTCGCCGATGGCCAACTCCCATCGACAGACCAAGTCTAACCGGACCGCACACCCTCCTTACCCGCACCGAAACGCCATGCGAAGCAACTTCACTCCGTCCAAACCGCGCCACGTCCCCACGGCTTCGACCACGCTCCGTTACCAATCCGTCGGTGACAGTGGGCTCAAGACCCTTGGGCTTCACGATCTACGGAAGTTAGAGAACAAGCCGCTGGCTAAAGAGCTCGTCGAGAAAGACTCCGTTGTCGTGGAGATGCACCTCAACGATGGCACTACCTCTGGGCCGAGTGTCCAAAAACCTGACGAGAAAAAGACCGATACCGCGACGCCTCAGTCTGACAGTCCGAAACAGCTATCAACGACATCTCCATCCGTGAAGGAGAGCTCGAAACTCGAAAAATCATCACCGACGCCATCCGTAGTAGTAACTTCAAAACCTGAAAAAGCGTCACCATTATCACCCGTCGAAGAACCCTCGAAATTAGAGGAAGCACCACCGAAGCGGTTCACGACCGAAGCAACGCAGACGGTGAAACTACCTGCGGCGGCATCTACCGCTGAAACTTCGAAACCCGAGTCCATTAAAAAGGCAATCAAAGACAAAGTCAGGGTGGAGGTGGAACAAATCATTACATCAACGCTTCACCAACCGATTTCGGTGAGGGAGGAGATCCAAAGAGAGGCTGCGTTGGCGGACAAAGATCTCCGCGGAATCCATCGCCCCGTGGAGAGCGAAGCCCGAAGTGCAAGTGCCAATGACAAAGAGGAACTACACATTTCAGTGCATGAGAGCGTTCGTCCAGACGATCCCCAGAGCCGTGCACAGAAGAAGTATTCAACAATCCCACGCCCTCTCCGCTTAGTCGAACAGGTTCCAGCCGGCAACTACCAACTGCAGTCCCTCGCTGAGCCCACACCCAGCTCCATCGATAACGGCAACAGTTATAACAACTACGACCAGCCCGGGTTCGGGAGCAACTACTACTACGACCCCACTCTGGCGGCGGCTGTGAGCAACTACTACCCAGGGTCGGGTGTGACGCATCTCAGTGGCAACTCCCTCAAACCGTCGTACGATGAGAACCCGTATATTGGCTACGAGTGGGTTAAGATGCTCCCGCGAATGGTCAACACTAACGGCGAAAGTTACATCGTCATGGATCCAGACTATAAGACTTTCTTCGGCTACCCTCGACCCACGACACTCTTCCACCAACTTACGAAGAACAAATTCGCGCCCCACGTCAAGCCGCAGGACAACAAATACGAGCTGAACAAGCCGCAAGAGCCGCCAGCGACGTCACCAGTCAAGGAACCTATCATGAAGGCCGTCACCGCGGAGAACTCGCCCAAACATGACCAGCAGGTGCCGCAGTACTTCCGCAAAGCCCCAGAGAAGGCGGACTCCGGTAATCTGACACAAAAAAGCCAAGAGGTGCAGGCCAGCCAGCAGAATCTGACGCAGAAATATCTGGAATCGCTGCAAGCGGCGCCTCAACCGTATCCGATGGTGCCGGCTGCGGCGCCCAGCAGCGCGGTGGTCAAGCTGCCAGTCATCCAGCCGGCCACTATCAACCCCATCCCAGCGTATGCGTGGTCAGCCGGCCCTGTTGCCATCAATCCGGCCATAGCTTTCATCTTACTCCCTCTCCAGACAGCACAGGATCCGCCAATAGCGCCAATAGTTGTCAACTGATCACTAAGACTGTCGAGTTTGAGATAGAGCATGAGAAAAGCCATGAGTTTCGAGGCATTAAGCATTAATATCCAGCCCATAGCGCCATACTTATTCATTTAATCACTCTCTTCCACTGAATCCAATTAAGATCTCCTTTTTGGCGTTTATTTTCTGACTTAAAAGGTGGTACAATGAAACAAAATATCAGAGAGAGTTTTGAATCTGCATATATTGACGCTCTTAGAACGGGTCGCATGGATCTATAGCGACAGGCAGTTTTCTGAATATTGTTATACAGCCTCAGGTTGAATATTTTACTAAAAATCATATCTTAACTTCTTGTCAATGCTCAAGTGAGCACAAGAATATGACCAAAACTGCCTTCCGTGAAAGCATTTTTGATTTTGCAACTTAAGTTCCTAAGGTATGCATGATGACTTTTATTTTTCACCGGAACTTGATCAGTAATTCTTAGCAAATACCTCTGTCGTCCGTCAGGCTTAAGGGTAAGGTTGAACCTTTAAGCTGGTCAAATGTAGAAGCTTTGGTATTAAATTTCAAAAATTATATTAATCCCAAGACTAGGTCTCATGACTGATATGATCAACTTACAAGACTGACTTTTTTGTGTTTATGATAAGTTTGATTTTAGTATAAGTAAAAAAAAAAAAATTATAGTACGTCCTGGAAAAACCTTCAAAGAGGGTAAGTGCCATGTTGCTGATATTTTTAAGTGTCAATAAATTGAGCAATTTATTAGTTACTGGATTTTTTCTTGATTGTTTACTGGCCTGTATCATGAACATTTGTTAGCAATAGGATTTAGCCTCCGGTTAAGGGTAAAATATATGTAGTTGAAGTGAAATTATCAACAAAGTCGAGTACAAAAAGTATTTTCAAAATACACAAAACAATACATAAAAAAGCAGAAGTATGAAACTAACACGGGATTGAAAGACTTGGAAGTATTTAAGAAATCTCATACAGCAAAACCTATGATCAAAATATGTTCAGCATGAAAATTTTTAGTTTCAATACATGAGAATTTCATAGGAGTTTTTATAAAGAAAAAAAAAAATTGAATGGATGACATTAACTATCTGGTAACTACTCTGATTATTAAATAAATTGACAGAACTTTTTTTTCACTTAAGAGGGACTGCCTCTGAGTTAATTAACATTCTTGTTCTCAAACAATGAGATAAAAGCTTCTTATAGACTTTTGATCAGATTCTTAAAAACTATGAAATATCTTGAAGAGGGGTAAGTTAGTGCAAAAAGTGGGCAAAGAAAGCAAGAGCGAAAGAGAAACAAGTAAAGACACTTACCAAACCCATCCTTTGCATGATATTTTCGTTGACAGGGTACCATAATTTGATTTTGCGGTAGAGAGGATGTCGTTCATAGTAGCTGATGAGTTCTATGAGACTTTCAAACTGGATCATGCCAATGGTATATAACCTTCCTTCCATTTTAATCCTACAATGTTTAATCTTCTTTTCAGCTCTGAAAAATCAGAGAATAGCATTTCATGTAATCATTTTTCACACTACTTTGGATTATTTTCAAAATGAGAACTTATTCAGCTATTTACTTCCTTGTGCTACCATGATAACTTATATCAAGGAATAAGCGAACAAAGATCCCTGTCTAAACCAGTTACAAGTGGTCAATAAAGGCAGGGGCCCAAAATGGCAAGTAAAGAGCGTAGACAGGGGTTGCAGCATGCCTGGTGTCCCACAGCGCACAACTGAGCTTGGACTTATAGTCCTAACCTCTGCACACTCCCGACTACCAAAGTTGGCAATGGGTCAGTTGCGCTGGTCACAGAATCGTGTTTTGATACTAGATTCTTGTAGTAAGCTAAAAATAATAAGATCCGTCCAAACCGCGACTTTCAACAGTCAGTATTAACCGAGTTGTTGCCCTTTTAAAAGTCGGGTTTTTGACGTCATCCACATCGGCAGTGAAACCCTTGGTTTCTTCAACCTTGCTTTTGGTTTTATGTTGAATAACCAGAGCTAATGTGCGTCACGCCGACTGATGAAAACAAAGTGGAAGAAACCAAGGGTGTTACTACTATGGTAGATGATGTCAAAAACCCGACTTTGCAAAGGGTGATATCTCTGTTAATATCGAACGCACAAAATTGCGGTTGGGACCGATCTTATTATTTTTAGCTAATCTACAAGAATAAAGGTTCAAAATATGATGAATTCTATGACTAGCGCAACTGATCCATTCTCCAAGAGAGATTCATTGTCAATTGAAGCCAGTCGGTCTGTGCCTCTTGCAAATATGCATCGGTAGCAGTGAACATACTATCCTGAAAACCCCTGATCGTTTAGAAATTCAGCATCAATGCTGGTACAACAGACACCTGGTGCACCCCAGTGGGATCTGTACTTGAGTCGGGAAATTAATGTCCTCAGCCACCGCTCCAGGAATACTTACAGATAAAAAAAAATCCTCAGTAAATTACAAAAAACATGATTTGTTGTAATATGATCAGAAATATGTACCAAATGTGTCATATTAGTGCAAAAAATTAGGATACTGAGAAATTTCATAGGAAAAAAGGTTTCCCAAAATTTTATGACTTAAAATTATCTGTCCAATTTTAGGGATCAAAATAGCGAACATAGTCTTATTACAAGTGGTATTAAGAACATTGAATAATTTTTCAATCAAAAATTTGGAAAATTAGTTAAAGGAATTTATTATTTTTTGTTGTCTCAGAACTTGACTTTTGGCAAATATATCCTTCTTTGACTAATGCAAGAATGAGACTTTCAGATGAGTAACTACATACCTGAAAGATATGGCAAAGGAATTGTGGTCATAATCACTTGGTCGCACAAGGAATGCACCATCATGAGGAACTTTGCGTAAAAGATCTTCTGCTTGCTGCCTGGTAACGTGAGGATTGTACCATTCTTTACCTTCATGCTTGCTAGGTTGAGGGACTGGCTCTTTCAATTTAATTGTAAATTCCTGAGAGAAAAAATAGAGAATTTTCAGAGCTGATCACAAAATCTAATTAGTAAGAGAGGAAAAAATGGGATGCAATAATTTTCCAATTGAAGTAATGATTGTTTTTTCTTTACTCTCGTCGAATGTGATAGTCTTTGACCAAATTGAGTGCAATACGTGCGTCTATCCTTTGGGAACATTTCTCTTCTTTCCAGTTTGTACTCTAAAAAAAAGTCTAAAAGTTAAGTCTTTTAAACATTCTATGGAGTTAGAGGTAGCCAGATAAGAAAGGGTCATACCAGTAACGGCCCTTTAAGTTGGACTACCTCAAGACGTTTTGTCTTGTATGATAAAATGAAACTGTGCAGAAAGTATTATTCTAGTAATCTTCAAGGAATTAGTGATCACTCATCCATACACAATAGATCTTTCACTACTGCAGAGAAATATTGTGATCAAGAATTGTTTTGGCATTTACAAAGGCTGTCCTAAAACAACCAAGATTAAGTGTGCAGTTGAAAATCTATAATAAAGGATGTGTCTCATTGAGGGCCTTTTTTAGCCCCAATTTTGGTCAACAACTAAAGTAGCTTAAAATAATGTCATAAATGCACACATCAAATCTTAATCATCTACCCTGTGAGAACATGTCTTCATTCGAGGTATTTGAAAGGTTTTTACCTAATCTACTGGTGCAAAGAGGTGAAATTTTACCTTGAGCCTATTTTCTTTTTCTTCTTCTTGAATTACACTGATGAAAATTTTCATATTTACTGTGGGGTGAAAACTTTCAATGCAGTTCAGAACCATATTTTATCTCTGATTTTTATTAAAAAGTTGACACCAACAAAATTAGCGATTTAAAACTTGATAAATGTAAATTTCTACTCACTTGACTACGGAGGGGAAGATTTCGATAATGAGTGATTAAACAATACAAGCTGTTGAAACAATTACTATCAATCAGGAAATACTTTGTCTGACCTTTATCTTGCTTTGATTTTATACGACAATGATTTACTCGACCTTTTCGCCTGAAAAAATACATGAAGAAGATGAAAAAAGAGAACATGTTAAAAGGATGTTTCTGGTTAGACAAGAATAAAAAAACAATACCTGCAAGAATCAGTTTATTGAATGGTGGGCTGCTAGCCACACCTGCAACTTTCCCTATTGTAGACTTTAGTTGAGTTCATTAATCCATCTGTCGGCACCTGTGTTTTTGCTTCACCTCATCATTGATATGTTAGAAATTATCTAAGATGTGACTTATAGATAAAACATTCTGTACACCTAAGTTACAATATTGATCTTTCAGGACACCCGTGATCAACCAACGCTTTGGAGTAAATTTTTTAAATCTCAGCAGTTAATAACCATTTAGAAAATTGAATATATTGCTAAAACTAAAATTCCCAATCAGAACACTTGGTAAAAATAGCATTCTGCTGCTTGAAACTGTGGCAGGTTGGTAAAAGTCACGGCTTCTCTTCCTCAGTGCTCTTGAAATGTATTAGTATGCGTACCAGAATGAAAGAGTATAGTCTCCGACGAATGTTTCGCTCTCTCTGACCAAGAATGTGCCATCTCCTAAATGTGAGTAAGAACGAAGAAGGTCCTCTGCTTCTGCACGGCCTCCGCTAAGTTTACCATGGAACCACTTTTCTCCGTAGTGTAACTCATCATTAGGAACACCCTGGAATTGAATTAAAATGGGATCAGTTACTAAATAAATTACAAGTCCTGGGGGGGGGGGGGGGATGATTCCACACTCAAAAGAATGGAATTCAGTATAGGCATTAAGGACCAGTTTACCACTATGAGTCATGTCTCCTTCGATGGGCCTGCTACTAACATCTAGACTTAAAACTCTCATTCAACAATCTTAACTTGGATCGCAATAGCAACACACACAAATAAGAATGCTTACATGGGTCAAATTCAAATAAGAAATACAGTCAAGTGAACAAATGTACTCCCTCAAGGTAAATTCACTCAAAAATAACGAAGGGCATCTAGAACATGTCAGAAGTCCAGGGTTGAGTATGCAATCTAAGTTGTTAACACCACAAATTTTCAAATTTTCTCAGTTGCCAGCAACCAGGTTTGCTTTGAAAGAGACGTTAAACAACCTAACCTACATAAATCAACTTTTTCTTGCATATGATTCCAAGTGTTTGTTTCCTCTTTGAAATTTTGTTTTGCAGAAAGAGAGGCTTTGAATTGATTAAAATCACGCGTAAGGAAAGTTTTTGAGTGCCTGAGAGATTGTTTGTTAATTTCTTTTTGGTTTTTTTGCATCTCTCTTTTTGCTTTGACTGCTAACCACTTAGAACTGCTGACCGCTGATGCTGATAACTTCAAAAAGTGTCTTACAAACACTTCAGATCACACGCTAAGGAGTCAATTTCAAACTTGTTTGATGTGTCCTTCATAATTTTCATGCAATTTTAAGTACAAAAAGTCTATTGACTTCACTGCAACTCTTGCATGTAACAAACTCATTGTTCTCTGATACCGAGTCACTTTGTTGCATACATTCCAAAGATCCAAATTCCATTTCTTCTTGACGGCATGAAAGGAAATTATGAGGACAGACATTACTGAAATGGCAGTAGTAGTAGAGTTATTTGTTTATATGATGACTGAGAGAGAAAAACTTTAATTATGCTTGAACAGCATGATTAAATTTAAAGCGGGTGGTTCTATTCTAGATTGACTTATGTTAATAAGTCAGTATAGAGTAAAAATTGTTTTCTCTAGCACGGGGGGTTTTAAACTAAAATGGAGGTATTAAGCTTTAGAAGTGATTCTAATTTTTAAAATCTCCATCCTACCTCTTTTGGCCGTTGAAATCCAGATGTGTCTCTTGATTCATCATCATCAACGTCCTCATCATTCTCATCTTCAGCCTCATCATCACCATGCACACAGTCGGTATATGAGAGCTTGTTGCAAGTCAACACAAAAAAATGCGGGTTCCACTTTTTATCAACAGGATCTTCCAAATAAAGCACTCCATTTTTTACTGTATTTCGCAAGTCCATCTCTCGCCCTGAAATCACATTTTTCCCTGGTATTATTGATTACAGGTTAAATGATCCTAACTAGAAATGCTGGTTTCCACAAATTTCAAACAACCATTAAAATACATCATTGACAAATCAACATCAGAGAAACTATGCGGGGCTTGTAATCTTTTATGATTTTTGCAAACGACTAGATACAACCGTACAAGAAAGTTCCATTCACTTTAACATCAATCAAGCTATGGATGACTGCTAACAGTTAGAACGGCCAGAGCACCAGAAAAGGACTTTGTACAGAGAACCACAGCATTTGATTATTATTTGATGTTTGTAGACCTCCTGAGCATGATGAGCTCTTAAAAAATAACACTTTAAATGTCAAAGTCAGGAAAAATGGGGCTGAAAAGTGAAGTTTTTAGTGTTCTTACACCCACTTTCTTGTTAAGTTTTTTCCTATTACCGGCCAACAAATCCAGGCTTGCTGAGACAACAAAGAGATTTAGATAGGACCAGCGAAAATTGTCATTACAATGTAAAAGTCATTAATTTGAAGGTAATTATAACATGTATTGAGGTTTTACTGTAACTGGCCACTTTCTGCGATAAAGATTCTTACCATCATCGTTGGTAATCAAGAATGAGCCTTCGTCTGCACCATCAGGCAGTTTTTTATGCTTGACAAGAATTTTTCGTTTTAATTGTTCTGGAGATGGCATTTCAGTCTCATTCTTCTCTAGAGGATGTGTCACTAAAAGATTCCCAAATATGTCCACCATAGCACTTGCCATATTTCGCTGCTGAGGGAGGGAACAATTGTCTTCTATTGATAATATCACAGGAAATCTGGATAAAGTAAAAAAATGAATGATGAGTAGAGATGAAAGGATGAAGGAAAAGCCTAGTTTTACTGTTCAAACAAACTCAGACTTGACTAATCTAGGTAGATTATTCATTGTTTTTTATATTGTTTGAGAACATTGGCTTAGCAATGTAATGATTTACAAACCTTGAAGCTGACAAAAAAATTTCTAACAAGTCATTAAAAATTTAAATTAAATGTCTTTACTATTTTTATTGGGACTTTCTAAGAAACAGAGCACAAGATGTTGGTAGCTGATAATGAAAGCTCTTCATTCCAATGCTTGAGAAAAAAAAAGCACCAAATAGATATCAGAAGTAGAAAACCTACGTTGATGTGATTCGTTATGAATACAGTAATGTTGGTTTTCTAAAATCAAGAACTTACTCAGAGGTAACGAAAGCATACTCTTTGATCGTCTTGATAACATCTAAAAATTTGATACGCGTTGTCAATGTATGACCATGGTAAATAATGGGCAGTCCATCTGGTCCATCCCAACAATCAAGTTCTATACAACGACAGCCTTGCTTTAAGCACCGAACATACGCCTCAACAGAAGACTCGCTGGAGAACTGATCTCCAGTCAGATATCTGCAGCAGAGAAAAAGTCAGCGTCAGGTACACAACTTAAGGAACAATGCCTAATAATTCGTGTGTTCTCATCATGCCTTTTCACATGTTGACTATCAACAAGTCTTTACACATTCCTTATTGCAAAACCAAGAAAACATGAAAAATGGCTAATTTTGTTAAGAGATTGAAAACATTAGAAAAACAAAGACAATAAACCTTTCAACCGACAGTTTTTACTCAGGATGTCATGTCTGTCTCAACAATATACCAAAAAGCATTGATATGGGGCCTATTTGCCCCTTCTACCAGAGACCATTGCCATTGAAATTCACCATTAATGCAGCCCAAGAATTATTCCATTATTTGTTTTTGTCTGCAGCTATTGTGACCTTACGTTTGGTGAAATCACAGGAGCAAATTTTGACTACATCAACGGCATTATCGAGTTTCTTACTTAATTTTTACTAAATTTCATTGTCAGATTACAAATTGTACCATTACAAGAAAGCTTAGTTTACATGGTTAATAGAAAAAATAATAAAATACTTTTATTTTTAATAAAAATTACAATCGTATAAATTAATTAATTAATGGACTTACGTATTGTGAGATGATGCAATCCAATAATGTGTTAGAGGCCTTGTCATGTCTTGATAGACATCATCATACCGTTGATCCCAGAGCTCATTTTGTTTTGAAAATAAAAAATCCATGAACTGAAATTCATACAGTGGAACTTGAAATTAATTTTCCTTGAAACAAAAACAAACTTAGCTTGGGATATATTTAAATTTTTTATGCTGCAGTTCCAGTCCATTTTAATAGCCACTAATTGAATTGAATTTGAAGACGTTTTCTCCTGTCTTCCATTTTGACGGTGTAAGTTGGCAATCACACAACTCAGTTTACGTTGTCGTAGACTTCCTGTCATACTTTATTTTTTAAACGGAAAACTACTCAACAGCAATTCTTTAAAACTGACATGATTTTTCTTCTCTGTGTAAAAAATATTCTACAAAAACTTCAAGGAATCATGTCAATTTGTTCTCTTTTAAAAAAATAACATAGAAGTGGAGATTTTCAGACACCGCAAACAAGTTATGTGATTGCCAAATTACACCATCGATATGCATTTTTCATTAGGGTACATCAGACAGAACCCTGCATACTAGAGAGTGTTAACTGGCGCTCAGTAAATTTGGATGAAACTTTTACAGGTTATTATTAAGTTTATTGGTTGGCCAAAACCAAAGAATCGTATGATTTGGTCGGGTAGGAGTTGAGATATTGACGATTGAACATGCCAATTGTTGTGCATTCATGCCCTGATCTCTTTAGGATACCTAGGTGGGGAGAGTGTGGACAAGTCGAAAAATGGAGCTCTTAGGACCTAAAAAAGCAGACAACGTTCTAACACAAAACAACTAAAAAAATACCACTGCCAATCTTCAAATTCCAATATCAAACCAAGATGGCCATGAATGTTCATATATGAGCATCCTTGCACAAAAATGAGTACATTTATGCGAAAACTAAGTCAAATACATCCTTTACAAACGATAGGTCTTAGCAATTATAATAATAAAACATCCTGGATAATTTGAGTTCATAGGTTGGCTGCCTTTTTGGGCCCTAAAAGCTCCTAGCCTCACCTCCAAAATTACTGACTGGTTTGTATTCTCCCCATGTGGGTACTCTAGATTTCCCAAGCAAGTAGGTGCTTCTGGGTTTAGCTAAAATTTCCGAACATTGCACCCATTACAGGTATGACATAAAACATTACAATACAAACGTTATTATGTTGTCTATTCTGGGAGTTTCGAAAATAAAATGTTGTAACTGGAAAAACTATGTTTTGCAAAACATTAAAATGAGAGTCATCTGTTTCGTTTTGGAAAATGTCAATGATGTTACAAAGAGTTGTGAGGGGAGTTGCTTCATCTTCTTGAGCAAATCTGAAAGGCTTCCTTAAAGTAAATACCTCAAGGATGGTAAAGTAAGGTTCTTGAACATTCCTCTGTGTGTCTTGAAGATAATCTCTCATGTGACGAGAAACTTCTTTGTCATGAACATTTCTTTCTCCTTGTTCCTGTATGAGGAATCTTGTGAGTTCTTGAACAGTGACTGTTTTACCATTTTCGCAATACTTTGTGTAGCCTGGGAAACACTCACGCAATGTCTGAAAAAAATAAGGGATACTTCATAGTACATGCCGAAGGATAATAAAAAAAATAGTGTATTTCCTTCGGAAAATACACTAAAGGAGGAAAGACAACTGAGATAAAGATGATCCCTAGTACTTCAGGTCTTCAAGCTTTTATCAAGAAGTTCATGTTTATTCTTACAAAGTAATAGAACATAATTAAATTGAAAATTGGTATGAGTAGAATGTCTTACAGTTAAACTGCTGAACTGCAAAAGCCTATTCTATGTTGAAGCTAAGAGTTTTTTCTTCACAGTTATTTTCTCAAAACTGCTTTCCCTCTCCTGTAACTTAACCTCAGCTGGAAACTCTTTCTTATCATTCTCTTTTTCTAGGGCCTGATTTTTTTGGTTTGATTCGAGCTTTACCTTTTTTAGACTTTTTCGAGTCAAGCTCGAGCTTTTTTCGAGTTTATGAAAACAATTGAGCCTGAGTCCAAGTACATTGTCTCTCTTTGTTTTCTTTAAACCTGTCTATTTTAAAAGATCATCACTTTGAAATTACATAAATTCCAATTCACTTGTATCTTAATTGCGGAGGTGGAGACCACAACTCGCGAAAATCATGAATGGTCAGGGAATTTTCAAAGAAATAAAATTCATTTTGAAAACTCTAATTTGGTTTTCCCTCCAATTTCATTTTAGGTAGTTCTCAAACTTGATTGAGGCTCGTTCTTTGCCTCTCATCCGAGCTTCCCACTCAACTTCGAGCCGAGCTCAAGCACGGATATTGAGTGCTCACACACCACTAACTTTTTCATGAGTTGATCTAGGTTGTTTCAATTGAAAAATAATACTATCATAAGACATGCGGTTAGACAATTAAGCAGATAAAGAAAACTTACAGACTCATCAAACATCAGTTTGTGGTACAAAAGTGCAAAGTCATCAAACGCAATCTCGTTTCGCTTACGAACATCCACTTCTTGAAAGACCTCCCGGAGCTTGTTGGTGGGTATTTTGCAATTGACTCTTGGGAGAAACGACTTCACATCTTTCAACGTTACTCTGAGATATTAAAAAATTTGAAAATTAAAAACACGGAAAAAAGTAAAGAAGGATAAGTTTGCATGAGGACCCTTTGCAACGATTTGTTAACTCTACATAAAATGCACCCGTAAAAGTTACACAAAAAGTTGAGTAAAGTCATCCATAACCCCACAAGTATTTCAATTCAGTATTTAGATTATGGTAATCCCCAAAAACTTAAAAACGGCATTTAGAATATTTATTCTAAAAGTTGGGAGTTCAAATATGGTTTTAGGTTTTTTTTTTTTGTGTGCAAGTAAGTTCTCTGTTGTAAGAGTTGCAAGTCTGAAAACTACTGATTATTGTTTTATTTTGGAATGATGACCTCAGAAGGGTATACTTTTTGAAAGTTATGTAGGGTTGCGTTCAACATCCCTCAGTTTTCCAAGCCTGTTTCCTCTCCCCAAATAAAAAGGGAAGAATTGAGCTCGATAACCCTATGTCTCAATGATTTATACCGGATCCTTTAAATTTGCAAGCTGTGGGGTCACTCAATCTTCAGCATGATTCATTTAGGTATTAAAAGGCATGAATAACTAAGTACTCATGGCAAAGCAAGATTCACTTTCATCTCGACGCAGCGGTTGAAACAACATGTAGAACTGGGGTAAGAAAAAAATGCACAAATGTCATAATAACATAAAAGCATCAGTCATCAGTTAGCCCATTGTTCAGTACATTAATCTCTGTTGAATAATGCCATTTTCTAATAAGACATTTGTCCATTCTTTTCTTTCCCCAGTTCTAGCTCCAATGACTCTTGAACAGTTCCATGGGGACTGAAGACAAGCGTTAAAAACAATTTTGCTGCTCACTGATCAGTTGTGCTCCAACAAGTCTTGTTTTGATCAGCATCATTTGGATTCAGCGGAAGTTCTTTCCAGTTCTGCCCTGACAGAAATGGTTTTGCCAGAAAATGAGTATTGCCACTAACTTGTGTTCAAGGAATCAAGGGTGATTTTTATCTGGTACCGCTAATTTAATACCAACAGCCACGTGCTTAAGCCTACATACCAGCAGTGTTAGTAGTACAACTACTCGTTTCATCTGTAGATGTCCTTCACTCTTGAACTGTTCCTGCATTTGCAGTAAAAGTTGATCATATTCCTGGTCGATTAGACCAATTATATTTTACAGTTAATGGGCCCGTTGCAAACTTTGGCTAGAGCAAAAATAAGAGTTGTTTCTTATAGATAATGCCTCAAAAATCACAATGAGCGCAACGGCAAAGTCTAAAATGCACTCATAACTTCACAATCTGCCTAAGAAATTTGCGGTTTTTTGAGCTTCCCGCTTCAAAAACAATACTACGGCACAGGTAAACATTTTGTTAGTGGAGTCGTTCCATCGTCGGCAATATTCATCATGGTCGACGCTTCCGTAGTTCCGCGCGTAATTCAAGAAGAGTTCAAGGTCAATCAAGACGGGCGAGGAAAATATGAACGTAAACACGCCGATTGTTATCTAGCCTAATCCTGTTCAGGTGTTATCTCGTCCCATCACACGTGTTTTGGCGAATTGGCGTCGGCCATGATGAATATTGCCGACGATGGAACGACTCCTCTAACAAAAGGTTCACCTGTGCTGTAGTATCGTTTTTGAAGCGGGAAGCTCAAAAAACCGCAAATTTCTAACGCAGATTGTGAAGTTATGAGTGCATTTCAGAGTTTGCCGATGCGCTCATCGTGATTTTTGAAGCATTATCTATAGGAAACAACTCTTATTTTTGCTCTAGCAAAAGTTTGCAACAGGCCCATTGATTAGGAGCTTATTTTGGACAATGTTCAGAAATTTGTGGAACTGCCTGAATGGTAAATATAGGTTAAAACATGTACCTCAGATTTCATTAGTTATCCATTAATAATACTGACTACAATGTTTATTTTAACTGTTTCGAAAAGTTGGGTCCATACAGACACAGTCCTTTTGACAATCATTAAATCTACTTCAGTTAAGGGGACAAAAAACCCGTTTTTATTCTATCCTGAAGAATGAGCATTTTTAAGATACACAGATTTTAAGTTTAAGGATAGAATTGAAACCCTCCTGATGATCTAAATTAGAGCCAAAGAATTTAGAGCTGCATTCTGCAGTTTGACTTGTTCCTCACTTACGTTTCTCTATTATTCTCCATGCTGTAAAACTCTTTTCGAAGCCATCTTTCCACCTGTAATGGATATGGAGATTCAATTGTATCTGGAACTAGATGACGAAGCCCTCTGACCCACAGTTCACATTCTTTTTCTGAAAATGCTGAAAAAATAGAAAACATTTTTATTAGACTCGAATGGAATTTGGAGGATACCCTTTACTGATTTAATTACATGCAGAAGAAATAATTTAAAATATAAAGTTGAGAAGTAGGTCTGTGGACCCAAAATTCATATGCCAATTATTCCCTTCTCCACGTTTCGCACTGCACAGTTCTCCTACAACATAGCTTCATCTCTGCATCACCCCACTACCCACCCACCCCTCTCTGTCATAAATACTTCTCCTTCCTTTTTAATCTACTGGACAGTAATTAATTGATTGAGTATTTACCTGCAATTGACAATGATTTAAGCTTGAATTCAGAGCCATAAAATACAACAAAACATTTGAGATTTTCCATGCGCTTTGCTTCCTCAAGCCATTTCTCAAAATCCTTCGAATTCTTGCCAACCCGAATTTCTTTCACCTCTCGCATTTCAACTGCAAATAAAAAGTTAAAAAAAGCACTTGATGAATTATGCAACATCACTGCAAAATTATAGAGAAAGAGAGAGAGATCATTCAAGGTTAAAGGATAAGCTGTGCCCCTCTTGCAAAATTCTTTAAAACAATAATGGACTAGGGGCTCAGATTCTTTCCTTCTTTTCTTATTGATTTTACCTAGAACAATGTTCGCAAACAGTGATAGCAAATATTCAAAAATTAGAACCTGGTAGACTTAAAAGGACAGACAAGTGTTTAGTTAATGATAGAACCGTTGAAGATGAATTGTTTCTAACCAAAAGGTGATTATAGGTGCTGCTCCTTCTCTTGAGGGGCACAGAGATATTATTTTGCCTTCACACCACTAAACACTATAAACCACCACATTTGCTTTTTCCTTTACATGAAACAGCTTGTCTAACAGTTTTCTGTGAAAAAATACCTAGTAAGTACATGCAATGGGCCTGTTGCAAACTTTTGCTAGAGCAGAATGAAGAGTTGTTTCCTATAGATGATGCCTCAAAAATCACGATGAGCGCATCGGCAAAGTCTAAAATGCACTCATAAATTCACAATCTGCGTAAGAAATTTGCGTTATTTTGAGCTTCCCGCTTCAAAAACGATACTACTGCACAGGTGAACATTTTGTTAGATGAGTCCCTCCATCATCGGCAATATTCATCATGGCCGACGCTTGCGCAGTTCCGCGAGTAATTCGAGGAGAGTTCAAGATCAATTAAGGCGGGCGAGGAAAATATAAACGTAAACACGCCGATTGTTATCTGGTCTAATCCAGTTCAGGTGTTATCTCGTCCCATCAAACGTGTTTTGGCGGATTGGCGTCGGCTATGATGAGTATTGCCGCCAATGGAACGACTCCTCTAACAAAATGTTCACCTGTACCGTAGTATCGTTTTCGAAGCGGGAAGCTCAAAAAACCGCAAATTTCTTGGGCAGATTGTGAAGTTATGAGTGCATTTCAGACTTTGCCGATGCGCTCATCGTGATTTTTGAAGCATTATCTGTAAGGAACAACTCTTAGTTTTGCTCTAGCAAAAGTTTGCAACAGGCCCATTCTTGGTAATGTTACCCTTTTCTTAGTTAATACACCGAGATTTCTTTTCCAGTGCATGCACCCTGTGCGGCAGTGTAGTCACCCGCTTAAAAAATGACTGGACATATATGATGTTTTTCTCGAGGAGAGCGGCAAGAGTGTCGGAGGCCGTGGCGCCACCGATGAACGCGAGAAAACAATCGCTGTTGATGCTCAAAGCTGCGCTGTCGGCTGCCGGGCGTCGGGTCCTGTTGACGTTAGCCGACTCTCGACGGAGGATGATCAATGGAAAGCTCCCCCCGCCCNNNCCCCCCCCACCCCCTCTCGTCATCCCTGCAACCTCATCAGCGGAACGCCCCGTGGCATTTACACTCACACCTCCGTCTCTTCTTCTGTTTTTTTAAACCCCCGCGCATCCTTTTGTCTTTCGGAAATAAGCAGTCGTCCTGTCAGCAAAAGTAACAGTCGATATCCCCGTCCGATCTGTCAAATTTCGAAGCTTTGTAACCTTCGTGGGGAGAGATGGACCGCGTTCGGCAGAAAGAAATCAAGCCACAACAGCTGTTGCCCTATTTAATTTTTTACAAGTAAATGTTAGTGCGGATTCCTTGGAATATATCGACGGTAAAACTACCGAACCACGTATCTCGTTTGCGGTGTTTAAAAATCTACGCTCACATTTTATTTCTTTGAAGTAGACCAAATCAATATTATTCCTTGAAATTTTCACGGAATTTTCTCCGCACAAAGAGGAAAAATCACAGAAAGTTTCGAGACTGGATGTTAAGTAGTTTTTCATTTAAAAAATAAAGTATGACAGGAAGTCTGCGACGTCGCAAACCGAGATACGTGGTTTGGTAGTTTCACCGTCGATATTAAAGAATTCGCTACCACTATCCAGAAAATCCACTGAAAAGAGCTCATTTTTGTATGCAAGGTGGGCCGATTTTTTATTTTTAGGCATCACTTCAAGGATTAATATTTTCCGTACTTTTCAAGTTTGATACAATTGACTCTTAATTCGGTCGAAAACGACTTTTAGGATCACGACGCCCTTTGACCCTCCAAGAAGGGCTTAAGGGGAGGGGGGGATAGAGGTCAGGACTATGAGATTCGGATTCCTTGGGGTCGATTCTCTCTCCAACCCGTAGTCCCAGACTTTATACGACCTTAAACATCCGAGAAAAAAACCTGGTGCGGAGCCGATATTCTGTGTGCGCGCAACCAGTGGACTTCCCGCTTATTTGAAAATTGGCGCGTCAATTTGTATATTTCGCCGAGCGCGCCACTGGAATTGGCGGGAACCAATGGGAGTGAAATTTCGACTTGTTTACATTCGCATTGTTTTGATATGGTTTTTAAACGAACGTAGGTCCTTCATTTTCTCGCGAGTGTCGTGGATAAGTCCTTTAAATCAGTAACGTTGCCTACGGTCTTAGCCGTATGGGGCCTTAACCGTATGGGGGACTGCACTGTCACAGGTTTAGCAATCCTGCGGTTTAGCTGGTACTCATACTCATCCATATCCTCCAACCAAAGAGACCACAAATGGGAACACGGATTCCTGAACGGATTCTTGATCTCGATCGAAGCTGTCACTTGTACATACTGCAAGCCATGGACACTTCATCCATCCGAGCACATGACAGTAACAATACCGTAAGAGCATTCAAATGTTGCCATATTTACTCTCAGAAAATAATTATTTTTGAAGAAACTTACGCATAATGTTTCCGTAAAATTTTCAAGCTTTTTAGATCAAATTCCAAACGAAATCCTCCGCAAAACCGGAAGAGAAATATCCACAAATATTCCTGAAATTTTTTGATTTATCAAAAGAAATTTGGCATCGCCTAATGGTTCATGCGGCATTTTTCCTTAGCGCGGCAGAGCTCGTCTGGGCAACAACAGCTCATGGGTCGCTGCGCTTTCTAGGTCAGAGTCGGAGCGCCGCACAGTGGATCGTGTGAATCGCAGAGGTCGAACATGAAATATTTAACTAAAACTGAAAATTGTGATGTTTATTTCGTCGCATTTTAAATTTCAAGGGGTGCTCCTAGGAGAAAATTTCACGAGAAAACCAATGGAACCGCTTTAAATACCTCAAAATTTAGTACGAACGGAGTTATGAGCTTTTAAATTTTCCGAATTTTGTCCGACTTCTCCAATTGACTCGATCCTTTGTGCGCCGGTTTTGGTCCATCGAATCCGATCCAATCGCATCGCAGCGCGGATACGGTTCCGATAACCGCCGCGCTAAGGAAGAACGCCGTATGAACATTCGAGGGTTGCCAAATTTCCTCCGATAAAATGTTTATTTCTAAGGAATGTACTGAATATTTTTCCTGACAATTTTCAGGAACTTTAGATGAAACTGCGAACGTAATTATCAAAAAAGTTGAAAGGAAAATATTCATAAGTTTACCAGGAAATCCTTGTTTTATCAAAGGAAATTTGGCAACGCCTGCAGGTTCATACGGCGTTTTTCCTAAGCACAGCAGATAAGGACAGACCCCGCGATAAATCCTCGTCGTTCCTCCTGTCTTTCTGTCCTGTCAGTGCGAATGCAACCTCCATCCGCGATTCGTAAGTACATCCCACGCGCAAACGTCGAAAGAGGGTGGTGTTCGTCGAGGAAAGTGACGTCATCGCGTCATGTGCATCCCCCAGATACCCAGTAGATTGGTTTCGAGTCCCGGAATCGTGTTTGCGGTTGAATCTTGAATCTGAATCGGTGGAAATTAATTCAGTGGCGTGGCGTGCTTCGCGATATATCGATTGATCTGCCATTTAAATCTATGCTGCCGTGCTAAGGAGAAACGCCGTAAGAACATTCGAGAGTTGCCAAATTGCCTCGGATAAAACATGTATTTTTGAGAACAATTATGCGTACTTTTCCTCGAAACTTTCGGGCGTTTTAGACGGAATTGCGAACAAAATTGTCTAAAAATTTGACGATTATGCTTACTCAAAATTTTCGGACATTTTAGACGGAATTGTGAACAAAATTGTCCAAAAAAAACTGAAGAGAAAAACTCACAACAGTTCCAGTACATTAAGGTTTTATTGAAGGAAATGTGGCAACGTTAGAAGGTTCATACGGCGATCTTCCTTAGCACAGCAGTATCGGAAAGGATCGATGAATAGGTTGTTCGCGACGAAAACCTTAAAAATCGATCCTTTATCATAGCTTCAAATGGAGGAAATATCGATAGTCGATTATCCACGCTTCGCAACTGAACTTATATTATAACCATCCGAACGCCGCGCCGAGTTCCTACAGCCGATGCTAACGGGAAAATTGTTTTTCGAAAAGCATCGTCGATGACGACATCCATGGAGTGTATCCCTTGGTTTCTTCCGCTTTGAATGGGTCTGTTGCAAATTAGAGATACTGTGGTCATCCTTAAGCGCCAAACTGATTAATTTGAGTTTCAAGCTTCAAGCATATTTTCCCCTGATTCGTCACTCATTAACAAATGGACTTAATTTTGTAACCTGGAACTACAACTTCTGGCTTATACGTAAAAACGCATAAATCCATAGGGAAATTAAAGGTACATACGTTGTTTTTAAACTGTCGATTAGCCAGAAATTGCATTTCCTTTCAAACTGCAGTCCAAATATAGTCCTCCTAACGGTAAATTGGCGAGTTTCCACTGGTTTGAAGGTTTTAAAGCCAAATTTTGTGCGAGTATACTGCTGTGCAAAGGAAGAACGTCGTCTGAGCCTTCAGAAGTTGCTAAATTTCCTCTAAGGAAGTATTTATTTTTTGAGAAAGTTCTGAATATTTTCCCTGAAAATGTTCAGGTCTTTTAGATCAAATTACAGAGAGAATTCTCTGAAAAAGCGAAAGAAAAATATTCAAAAAATTTTCCAAAAATTCGAGATTTGTCCAAGAAAATTTGGCAACTTTGACGGTTCATACGGCGTTTTCCCTTAGCACAACAGTATAGTCCCTTTTGCGAACCAATTTACCAATTTCTGACTGTTGGTTTAACACTACAGGTGATCCCATGTGAAGTTATCCTTTCTAATCTTATCTCAAACCGAAGATGGGCCTCGGGGAAATTTTTCGTCGTGTTTTATGCTATTTTCACCGCGTGGTACTGTGTTTGATATTTTTACTCGCTAATGAGATCGATATTTCTGGTTGCAGTTATGGCAAGGCGCTGGTCAGTGATTTGGCTATTCGTCGTTGCCATTCATGTCGCCAAGGCAGACTCCAACATTGGTGAGTATTACCCACTTATTATTTTGGTTTTTTACCATCCACCTGCAGCCTGCGCCTTAAAAACATTCCATGCCTTTGAAACGTCGCGATGTCGTAACCTGATTTACCAGGCTTTTATGTATGTTATCATCAATGTAACATACTTTGCTACTTACCAGTCTAAGCTAGAGTAAACATGTAACAGAAAGCTTAAATTCGTACCCTGTCTAGAGGTTTATTCCACCAGTATCTACTGGAACAACTCCGACTACACATAACCTCAGTTTCGACTCTTTGTTTGAGAGTGGCGCCTATTAGAGGGAACATTTTTAATCAAGTCTCCTCTTTCGGACGACAATCCTTGATCCACTCTCGAAAACCGAAGTTCATTTAAGTGGTGTAACTTTGAAAGAAACTTTTAGAGATCTCTTGAACTTAATCAATAACTCTCTTAGTCAAATACTACGTCAAACGATCACACGTCTCTTTCCTCTTGAAAAAGAACCTTGAAAGTTCTGACATTCCGAACTTGCGTACTCTCAACCATTCTTTGGACAACTTTTTTCCTTGTAAGAGATCTCATCTCGAGAGTGAAAAGGGAATGCACTCATATCAGTGTGGTGACCTTTTAAAACTTTACGCTCTTCTTTAATTTTTCGGTGGATAGTAGAAAGTATTCCGCAAGAAAGTCTCGGGTTTTTTCTATAAAACTAAGAAAAATTTTAAGAGCTCGATTGGCCGGTTATTCCGCATTGAAATAAAATGTAACGGTAAGTTTGCATCGTTCCAGACCTAGATACATAATGTTTTACATTCGAAATCGATGTGATTTATCTTGAGATTAAAATGTTTGAAAATACAATTCATCATCAGTGGTGGGATAATCTATACAAACTTGACACAAGAAAGAATTTTTAGTGGTTATTCCCTAAAATCTGGTACTAACCCAATTTTTTGGATGATATGAACATTTCCAAATAATTCTGGTAGTATCGCAACATTTAGGTTAGTAGCCTAATTCATTGGGGTACTACCACAACTAACTGGAAATGTCCATGTTGGGACTTAGCACCTACTTCTTTTTTTCCGTGAAGTAAAATTCATTTGAATTACCCACTAGGAAAATTCATCTTTGAAAATGATGAAAATTATTTGCAAGAATAAAATAGATGTTACATGAAACACAAAGAGAGAAAGTGCCATAACTTTGACGAACTTTGAGGTAACATCAATTTTGAAACTTAAAAGAAAAAGCGATAAACTTCTTCTTATGGGTTTTTCTTTTAAGTTTTTGAGTCACTTAATGATCCGGTTCAATTCAATTCAAAGTTTATAAATATATTATTTATTTTGGTTCGGACTTTTATACTTCTCTAAACCTTCTAAATGCACAATACAGACCAGTAGAGCCTCCAAAGGGATTTGAGGGAATAATTTAACAAAGAGTATACAAAACTCATTTCGATGTAAAAGTGTGTTTTTAATTCAACGAGAATATTAGTGCTTAAAAATGGAAATTCTCAACCAACAGACTGACATCCTATACTACTGTGATAAGGAAAAACGCCGTATGAACATTCGAGAGTTGCCTAATTTCCTTTAATAAAATGTCTATTTTTGAAGAAAACTATGGATATTTTTCCTCGGAATTTTCAGGAAATGAAGGTGGAATTGCGAACAAAATTAACTGCAAAATTGGAGGAAAAACGTTTACAAATTTTCCCGAAAATTCGTGATTTATGAAAGGAAATTTGGCAACTCCTGAAGGCTCATACGGCGTTCTTACTTAGCACGGCAGTATATACCTCTGCGATTACAACGAAATAATTTTCCAACTGCAAACGCGCGAGCTCTGAAACTTCAATTTTATTGCGATTAAGTTGCTACGATATCCGCGCCTTGACTTAAGAGAATAGGCAACACGCAATATCAACTTTGTCAGTAATAATGAGAGAGCAACTTTGCAATTTCTACCTATACATACGTAAAATGTTCCTTCAATAAAGTTGTAAAATTATAACGCTACAGTTGCTACTTGGAAACTTTTATCCTGTGAGCACATTTCCACGTATAAATACAAAGCATAATCGTAAATAATTAACATAGAGAGTGAGCTAATGCGCCATGCTAATGAACATGAACAAGAACAGCGCCAGAGCATCCGGGCGTTGCCGAATTTCTCAGGCAAATAATAATAAGTTCCCTGTGGGTGGAGGGGGGGGCTTCGGGCTCAATCTGTAATACCCTTGCTCTCAGCTCTACGAATTTTTGCTAATCAAAGCTCTATATTTGACGAAATGCTTCATAAAAGTCATCTCCGGTCTCGTTTCCGGTCTAATGCTGGCCTAAACATGGGGCTGACGGCGAATTTTTATGGAAAATCTGGCTTTTTTGGCATTCGACCGTAAACCCACAAAAACCCGCATTTCATGCCAAAATCCGCCTTCAGACCCATATTTAAAGCCCGAAAATGACCAAATCATAATGCATTCCGTGAAGTATAAACCTTCAATGAGAAAAAATTCGTAGAGTTGAGGATATTTGGGGTGGGCTCAAAAATGGCCCTTATCGCTGATACTTCTCTATTAAACATTTTCAAAATAGTTCTCTGGATGAGATGTTGCACCGTCCAATCGTTCATACGGTGTTTTTCCTCAGCACAATTGAACGTATTTCTGTCAAACGGAACTATTTGCATTATGACGCGAGCCCTGTTATACATAGATTCTTATGCGTCTCAGGGCTCATGTCTTAATGCACATAGTTCCGTTTGACAGAAATTCGTGCAACTTACGGCGGTGGCGCCCCTAACAAATCATTTTCAACAGGTAAAGATCCGAGTGAGCCATTATCAAATTAAATGGGTGGATAAGGCAATCAACGTTAGAATGCAGGCCCAGGCCGTGAAAACTCTCACGTAAGCACGCAAACCAAAGCTACTAATGGGAAAATATTCATCGCTCTACACTGCCGTGCTGAGGAAAAACGCCGTATGAATATTCGAGAGTTGCCAAATTTCCTACGATAAAATGTATCTTTTTAAGGAGATTTATGAATTTTTTTTTTTTTAATTTTCAGGAACTTTAGGTGAAATCGCGAACAAAATAATCTGCAAAAATTGGAAGAAAAGTAATCATAAGTTTTCTCGGAAATTTGTGTTTTATCAAAAGAAATTTGGCAACGCCTGGAGGTTCATACGGCGTTTTTCCTGAGCACGGTAGTTTAGGTGAAAGGCGTATCTCGTCTATTGTATGAGCCCTGTCGCTCATATAACACCGTGAGTCCCGTAGCCCATGTAAAAAACGATCCACATCCTTCTATCAGGAGAGCGACGTAATGAGGGACGTACTATCGTATTAAGGCAAAATCTCACATGAACATCTGTACATTGCCAAATAATGCGAAGTTTCGGGAAAACTTGCAACATTGTTTTTTCAAAATTTGCATGCAATTTTATTCATTGTTAAATCTAAAATATTCGAAAATTTCAGGTAAAAATACTCAAATCTTTTCTCTCAAAGTAGCATTTCTTTTGGGATGATTTGGCGATGTCTAAATGTTGATATGACGTTTTTCCTGAACAAGAGAGCGTGGCAAAAATATTACATGAACATTTGTACATTGCCAAATATCTCCCCAAAAATGCGAATTTTCGGGAAAACCTTGCGAAATTTTTTGTTTCAAATTTTGCATAAAATTGTATTAGTTGTTGAATCTAAACTATATGACAATTTTAGGTAAAAATACTCGAAGCTTTTCTCTCAAAGAAGCATTTTATTTGGGATGATTTGGCGACGTGTAAATGCTCATACAACGTTTTTCCTTGCCAAGGGAGCGTAGACGTCCAGGTAAATCACTCCACGAGTAGCACACTAAAACACCTTCGCCCTTATTGGTACAGCTGCGAATAGATAAATCACCATTAGGTACCTATTGTGTAACGCGCGTGCAGTTTTTTCTCCTGTCAAGGGAATCAAATCCACAGGGAGACCAAATTTCTCATTCAAGATTCGCATCAGCAGCCCATGTAGCAGCAGAATGTATTTGGAAGTAAAGAATAACTTGGCACAAGTGACAGAGGAACAAGAAGAATGGTTTTCTCCTCTGTTCCTCTTCTTCTTTACCCTTCTCTTCATCTGCTTCCTCTTTCTGTGCCTTTTTCATACTATATTCCTTTACTCCCTTCTTCCTTTCTTCTCGTCGCTTCGTTCTTTTACTCCTCTTAAAGTATTTCTTATTTCTCTTCTTCTCTTTCGTAGTCATTTTCTTGATCCTTTTTCCCCTCTCCTATTACTTCTTCTTTTTCGTTGTTGTCTTCTCCTTTTTAAGCTACTCGTATTTTACACGAGTATGTTCACAAAATACCCCACATACCTATAACATGAAAAAAAAATGAGGGTGAAACGGGAAACAAGGATCATAATACACAATTAAACCATTTTCAATCGGAAAATTAAGTAAAAAATAAAAAAATTCGAAAAAAAACCTGAAACCCACAAAGTGGTGGCTAAGATCCGAGAATAATCGAGTTATTCTCGAATTTTATTTAGTTATAACTTAATTTATAAAGTTTAACTGTACTTTTTGATCTAATCATAGTCTTACATCTTTTTCGTTTTTTTTTTTATTTTGTAGTTTGTTCACAAAACACCCCATTTACTCATGACATGAAAAAAAAAAAAATAATAATAATAATAATAATAATAATAATGAGGGTGAAACGGGAACCAAGCCTCAAAATACACAATAAAACCATTTTCAATCAGAGAATTGAGTAAAAATTTTATTCTAGAATTGTATCTAGTTGTAACTTAATTTAAATAGTTTAACTATACTCTTCAATCTAATCATAGTTTCATGCTTTTTTTCGGTTTTTTTTTTATTTTTCAAAATGACTCAGTTTTCAGCCGAAACGTATCGGTGTTTTATTGTGTATTTTCAGCCTTCTTAACTGTTCTTCCCCTTGTTTTTTCCCATGATCCCATTCTCACGGGCTGCCATGTAAAAATGTGTATCCACAC